CGGCTAGCGCAGATAACCCTCGTGTAGCTTTGCGCGAAATTCAAAACAAACAAACAAACCCTTTACTCTAAAATTCAAAGTACCCTCACTGGCACAAGCACGTCGTCGGAGTCGCCTACGGAAAACCCCAGCGGGATAAATAAATGTCAACGCCGAGCGGGAGCACTGCTTCAGGTAAGGATGGTTTGACTATAGACATATTAGCCTCTAACAGTCCAGAACTCGAGCAACTGGTAACATTAGCAAAACAAAATACAACGAAAGAATGGCAAGGTTAGTTTCACGTAAAACAAAGAAAGCAGTTAGGCTAACCAAAAATGACACATAAAAAACACTTCTATGGAAACTAACGAAACTACAGAACCACAAGAAGAACACTCAGGAAAATCAATACTAGAACACAAAGAAGAACACAACAACACACCTACACAAACTAAACACGAAGAATAATACAGCAACACACCTACACAAACTAAACACAAAGAATAATACAGCAACACACCTACACAAACTAAACACAAAGAAGAATACAGCAACACACCTACACAAACTAAACACAAAGAAGAACATGGAAACTCACATGACCAACTAGGGACACAAAAAGAAGTACACGAAGATAATCTCAAACAAACTCCAGAAGATCCAAACAATTTCATACTAGTAAAATCGAAGAAAACAAACAGCACAAAACACAAACAATCATACAAATGCAACACACAAAAACACACCACAAAACGCAATTATAATCCAAGGTATCCCAGCACAGTACAGGGAACCACAACTTGCGGCTGAAATCAAGCGATGTAAGCCGGATGTACACATTACAACAATAAAACGTCTAGCCAAGGGTGGCGTCCTGGCCAAAGGGTCAGAGGCCACTGACCTGACTACTAAAAACATGGCCCCATGATGCGTTTGAACCCGGCAAGATAACAATACACTTACCAGGAAACAAGCCCAACCCTTTCGTCATTAAGGACATACACACTAGCACTACTAACGAAGAAATCCAAACAGAACTCACAGAGAAAAACATTTTAGTAACAAAAATAGAACGGATTTTCTCAAATAAAACACAGAAACACACAAACCTCATAAAAGTTCAAGTGCAAGACACACAGAACCTAATATCAAACGGGATTATACTGTGGTACAGAAAATACACGGTAGAACCAACCAAAATAACTGCGGTAGTGGTAACCCAGTGCTACAACTGCCAACGGTATGGACATGTGGCAGCCGCATGTAAAGCTCTCCCACGCTGGGGGAGATCACAGAAACAATGAATGCCCGCGATATAACCCACAACCACACTGTTGCAACTGCCAGCAACAACATACGGCAAACTACAAAGGATGCCAGAAATATAAAATTATTAAAACAATAATAGAAAATATACAAAACAACACACACAAGCTCAAAATTATGAACTACACAGCACACAAAGAAAAACACCACTGCTACCTACACCAAACCCTCAACAAAATGGTAATACAAACAAACAGTCTACCGCACAAACATTCGCACAAGCATTAAAAACCCACACCCGAACGGAAACAATTACACAAGCACAAGAAGAGAAAATCAACACACAAACTAAAGAAACTACAGAACAAATGAAAACCCCTATAGCTACACCTTCTAAAACACAGGAATTCATAAACAAAGTAGTAGAGACAATCAAAAACATATTCAAAATAATCGTGGAAAAATATAACAGCCCTCAAAACGAAGACGATATATTCACAAAAACAGCAGCACAAGATCTACCACCATTATTACCACACTTACTACTTCTACTATAGACCCAAAGTACACAAACACCCAAGAATAGGGCAATACTTACACATACAACTTGATAACATAAAACGGACATGACCCTGAAAAGGAAAGTACTAACAGAAATCATCAACCCCATATCAAACCAGCCAACCAAAAAAACCTGAACCAAAGAAAAACGATAACAACTGTACAGAAGGGAGGAAGAGGTCTACCTGAACCTGACCCTCCCAGGTCGTAAAAACGACCTAAATCCCGATCCGGAGAAGAGAGACTCTAAAATTGCGTCTTGCACTTTGAGGCTACGGGTTCGCTGTAATAAATGACTATCAAATTCCTCTATTCGGACTTACTAGCTCAGGAGTTGGCGGCGAGTGCTGTTGACTGTCTTGTCTCTTGTCTAACAGTTTAAAATTAGAGATATTTATGCAAAGATCGCCCTTGTGCAGTTCTAAAAAACTAAAAATATAATTAAATACTCTATATAGCTTTAATCATCTGAGCATGATAGTTCTAGTTTAGTTTCCAATTATTGACGTCAAAACATTCATTGTTATTTAGACAGCCTTTTTTTACATTGAAATATACAAATTATTCAGATTAAGTGCAGTTAACTCTCTTTTTATAGTTTAGAATCGTATTTCAGAACTTAAAAGAATAAAATTTAAAAAAAACGATGTATATGAAGGTATATTTTGTGTACTGCCAACACCCTAAATTTAAGTGAGAGTTATTCAGTAACAAGACTGTGATTAGACACTGCCTAAATGTTTCAAGCAGACCTTAAAAACATGTGCACGATTCTTGTTTTTGAATGTAATTTACATAGATTCGGTTGAAGGTTTTAGTTAAAATAGTAGGTGGTATAATCAAAAATTATAATTTTTGGTACTATTATTCGTGCTCAGATATAATTGCATCATAAAAGTAGATGCAGCTGTTATCAAACGTAAACATTAGTTTTATTTGTAAAATTTCATTGTTCACTCACTCCATTTTGCGATATATATTAAATATTTTCCCATGAAACTATGAAAATGAATTTAAAATTGTCTTCAACAATGTTACTTTTATAGTAATTAATACCATTTAATATTATTAAATGTTTTGAGAGTTATGTAAGTATAATAGATTACTTAAACAAAGGAAAGACTATTATTTTCATAAAATTTTTTAATAAGATGTTTTTAAGGACGAGTTATACAAATTTATGAGACATTGTATCATATAAGTTTGTTCATAAGTATTTTAATGGGTGCTTAGAAAGAATTATTAAAACAGCTAATGTGGATTAACATGAAATACAGTAACACCAATTAAAAGTATCGTTACTCCCAGGACATCGTTAAAATATAATTTCTTAAGGAACATAGTGTATTGGATTTTAAAAAAAAATATGCAAAAATTATGTAATTGTTACTATAAGAGAAATTAGTATTAATTTCGTCTAAAGTCTAACTCTAATAAAAATTATTCCAAAATTAGCTGCTTTATTTCTTCTTCTGTGGCGCTACAATCAGGATAAAAAAATTCACACTTTTTCAAAAGCGATTCGATTGCTTCTGCTCTAGGTAAAAGAGACAAGCCGTCGTTGAAGGCTTTTTCGTATTTTCCAACAATTTCACTTTGGACGTCTTCTGAATTGACCCTAAAACAATAAAATTATCAACGTATTTTCCTACAAAATAAACATCTTTTTAAAACATTTCTTTGGAGCAGTAGGTTCTTCCTGAAAGTTTCTAGAAATTAAGGTTCCATTACCTACATTTAAACTTTCAGTTACAAAATATTACTGACATTAAAAATCTTCAAACTAAGCATATAATAAAACTAAAAGAAAGACATTTTTACATCATATTATGATATTTTTTCATTAGTTAAAACTATCACTTCACCTCCTGACCTTCAAGATGTACAAAAGAGCTTGTAATTTAAATTGTGAAAAACAAATGTGTATGATACCGAACGTCATAAGTTATACTTTGATGTGTAGACACGTGATTGTTGTCAAATGAAAAGCCGTGACAGATATAGTTATACTGTAATGTACAATTCTGATTTTCAAAAACTGTTAGTTTAATTAGACTAATTGTTTGGCAACACAAAAAGATGCCTTACGATCCTTATTATAAACCTTAGAACGTTAGGCTACAATGGTAGTAATATTATGTATTATTCATAATAATAAATAAATACTCTGTGTGTGTGTGTGTGTGTGTGTGTGTGTGTGTGTGTGACCGTCATAGCTCCAAGAGGAAAGACACTAAAGACCTGAACTTTTCACGCATACTAAGGGGCTTCGCAGGGTGTGCACTTGGGTATTATTTTTAAGATTTGTATAAAAACAAATTTGCCTCTTTTGTGCCCTATAGCCCCACAGATCTGTTTCTGACGGTCTATAGAAAAGTATCATATTTTTTTCTAATTCTCACTTTCTCAATGACCAGTATGTGGAGGTTTTCTGCCAAATACTATTTTTCAGCACAAACGGGGATAGAAAAAAGTTGAATTGAACTAAGTTTGGGAAACGGCAACAAGCAACGGGAAGAAAAATGTGAATCAGAGAATATTGGAGAATTCGGAGAATGAAAAGAATCCAAATAAAAACATAGGAAAAAAGACTAATCTGAGAAGCTAAATTAAGACTATTTGGTGGGTATTTTATGCTAGTCATAACTAAAACATAATACAAATGAATTATGAAACGAACCATCACAGAATATTACTTATCCCAAATTTCAACGGTTAAATTTGTCGTTCTAAGTGGCACACATTTAATATTCAATGGAAAATGACGATCTCAATTATAATTATGCGTAGAGCAGAAAATTCCAGTAAAACTCTAAAATTATCAATTAATTAGGAATTTTCAATCATAAACAGTACCTTATGCTCAAGCCAGCTAAACCAGTGCTTCTCAACCGGGGTTCCTCGAAATATTGAGGTTCCACAAGGTTTCGTGGAATGCATATTCTATTGCGTAAATACATACAGTAACATACTAGTCACATAATTGCAATCCGACTACACAATATTTCCTTATTGGTATAGCGGGTTACATAATGACACAACATAACAAAAAGTCACTGCGTTGTTTTAAATCTGTGAGTGAGACTAGGTACAAACAGCTGCTAGTATTGCAGTAATGTTATTAGTTGTGAGCGTTATGAAGGGTTCCGTGACACAAATGTGACGCCAGAAGAGTTTCGTGGATTGATAAAGGTTGAGAACCACCGAAATAAACAACTAGATCAGTAACCCCTATGATTCAGGTATGGCAGTAACTAATGTTTAGCTACTGACTAGAAGGAAGACAGCCAAACAGCACCATCCGCCGCACAAGGGCTATTTGAACCGAATAACAGAAATAAATGTCGCTTTAACGCACCCTAAGTTGAGAGTGCGGAACATGGTCCATGGCATAGTGTATCGAGCTCCGGACCCTTCGATACGAAGTCCGTCAAGCTAAGCATGAGATCAAACTTAATCTGAATTATTTATGCAGCTATAAACGAGGTTGAAAACGGACGAAAGGAAACATTTCAGCATTTCTTACTGGACAATAGTGGCGTTTTTGTATTTTCACAATCATACGAAAGTGTTTGAGTAATTTTGATACTGATCTTAGCTTTTACAATGTATCATCTTTCTCCCTAATATACATGAAGATTTTACAAATAAAATGGACCAGTAATATGGTATTGCAAAACTTGAATGTCTGTTACAATGAAGTACCTGAATTATTGAAATACGCAAACTATTTATTTTGCGGCAATGTTATTTGATTATCTGTAAATTCAACCACCCCAACAAGTTGGTGTTTTCACTTTCCTCAGCACACAAGTTTATTTAAAAGTAAGTAAAATTAAGATCGTGGATGTTGATAGAAAATTGGCTCTTTCATTAATTATCTTTGTTTCTTCTTTTTCCATTCGATAAATATATCGTTGTCACTGTAATATTACTTAACTGAACATATATTTTTGGTATTATTTGGATTCAACTATAAACTTATCTAGAATCTTACCTTAATACTTTTTGCAGTTCTTCTCCAAACAAACCGTATGCGGACGAAACCAGTGCTATTTTACAAACTGTTCTTTGGACGCAAGATATATCAGTAGCCGCTACCAATGAGGAGATGACATTTTCAAGATAACCTATGTCAGCTTTAGAAACTGGTGGGTAGTCTGCTGGGATTGCTCTTATATTCAGGACCATACGCAGAAGAATAAGAGTTATCAGCAAGAATTTCATCGTAAGGTTTTCCATTTTGGACTAACAACCAGTAAAATAAACAAAAGATTTGAGGAAAACATCTCCAATTACCAAGAATATTTGTACTACAAAGTTGTACTCATAGTAATGTATTCTCCACAATGTATCAGTTCATCGGTGACACTATATTAATTAGTTAGAAAGTTAAAAACTTGTATTATACTAGTTTGTTTGTAGTTAAGTAGAAAGCTACACAATGGGCTATCTGTGCTCTGCCCACCACGGGTATCGAAACCCAGTTTTTAGCGTTGTAATGCGCCTACACTGAACAAATAATTTTTGGAAGATGTTAAGAAAGTTATGCTTTTATTTTGCCAAACCGAAATAGACCAATAAGGGAAAACTTAAAGTTCATGTCATAAAACAAATTAAAGGGAAATGTAGAAATTAGTGGCTTAACACATTTTTTTAGAAAATCGTTTGAGACGAAACTGTCCTTGAGAGTTTCTCCCCGATGGCTCAACGTAAATTCTGAGGGCTTATAACATAAAAATCGGGTTTCGATTCTTGCGTTTAGCCCATTATGGAGTTTTGCTCTTAACACCTAACAAACAAAAAAAAATGCATAGAATATATTTGATTTGACATAGTCAGTAAGTTTTGTACAAAGATTTATGAATTGGCGGGAATTTCGCCATACATAACTAACACGGTAAGCTATACACGCCCTCAAATATATATTTATTCGAAACAAACGTCGACATTAAAATAAATGTCACAAATTCGTTATAAGCAACACATATCTGATAATACAAGTCACGCCTATTTCTAAATATAAATTCAATCCAAACAATGTTCATATTAGAAATAAATACATAACAATAAATTCGTTACACTGGGAGGGGATGACATAACTTTTTCTAATTTTGCCACAACATGAAATCTCATATTGATTGGTGCTCTTGTACATACAAGTGTATACATTTCCCTTTATTCTTGTTGTTATGATTTAATGATAACAGACACCTGATATCCGTTGGAAAGCATTATGCCATACGAGATTTTGCAGATACATTTTCAAAGAGCGGGGGGGAGGGGGGGGGAAGGTTGTTTATAACAAATAAGTTTTCTGTGTGCTAAAACTTGAACTTTAATTGATTATGTGAGTAGTTTTTTTTTATTATTCTGTAATAAAACATTTAACGTCTACATTACTGTTGGTGTTATCAAGACCAATTACATACCAGTAACTTACCTGTTTACAACTTGTAGTGTAATGGACTTAGGAAAAGGAGATACTTTACAATCGAAACTAAAGGAAAGTAATTACAAGTCAGTAAATTCTGAGTGAAAAGATAATATTTTTTTTTGTTTTTTTTCAGTGTGTTCAAAGTACTAAAAAGCTGCACTTAATATTATGTTTGAGGAAAGTTCGTGTGTTTAATTTCGCGCAAAAGTACTCGAGAGCAATCTGCGCTAGCCGTTCCTAATTTTGACCCACTATCAACTGTTTAGCTACTCTTTTTCAACGAATAGTGGAGTTGACAGTCACATTATAACGCCCCCACGGCTGGAAGGGCGAACATTTTCAGCGACATATTTCGATTCCGCGAACTGAAAATTGCGAGTTGAATGCTCTAACCACCAGGTCATCACAGAAAATAATCCATACCATAAAACAAAACATAACACTTCTCTAGTAAAAAGTTTGAATTATAGAAAATAGTTAATGACTGTTTTCACTGGACCAATTGTAGACATAAGTTGTCTCTAGTAATCAATATTTTACATAATATTCCTTCATAATTATTTTAAAAACGCCACAAACGTCTTTAAAGCTTAAAGATTTAAATACTTTCATTTTAATGTAGAGAGCAGGCTTACTCTAACGTACTATAATAACTTCACTTACCAAGCTTATCCTGGAAAATGTTGCTGCTACAGCACTAAATCGACGAAATGAAATCCGGTATATATATGCGGTTTTGTAACAACGTGCAGACAAATGGGTGGCAGGACACTGGTGTCAATACTGTTGCGTCATCGAGATCATGTGATTCTTACGCCCTTTAGTTTCTATAACTATCTTTTTCCTTCATGAATGCACTAGCATTAACTAGATAGGGTAGTCTGGTATATGTAAGAGGGTGACAACGTGACGATAGAATAATATAATGTGT